CGAACAGCTTGTAACACTCCAAAGAGAAAGGAAAACTTGAAATCGCATCATATGACCCCTTTAAGGGCAAAAAAGAGAAGACCAAAATTTGTGAATTCATAATTTGCATCACCATTAATTAGTTTATCTATCGATGGCCCTATTTAAAGATAAACTGTAGAGAATTATGAATGTACATGAACGTGCTCCAGACTGTACCGTTTGACTCTATTGCGTGTTTTGATTTGTTTGAAACTGACCTGACCTGAACTGACTGCTGTGCAGTTATGTGGAAGTTTGCCCTCTATGAAAATATTTTGAGTTGCTGTCAAAAGTAAAAGCCCATGTTTACAGAACTTTAAGCCTGTATTCTTAGAAGGATTGGGTGTTTTATTTTTTAAAATGTGTAATTATAAAACTTCATTGGTTGTAGAAAAATACTTTTTCTCCAAACTTTTCCTGGGATTGAATGCAGTCAAACAACCACCCAATGGGTCCCCTTTCTTTTCTGTATTGTGAAATATTCTTAAAGATACATAAAATGACTTTGGTAAAACAGGATCCAGTTTTAAGAACAAAGTTCTCCCAAGATGCACAAATATACTGTGACATACCATTTCAGATGATTTTGATGATGCTCTAAACCTGCAGTGTTTAGCGATAGGCTGAAAAATAATTTTTTGTTTGTTTATTTTATTTATTATTTGTGTGTGTGTGTGTGTGTGTGTGTGTGTGTGTGTGTGTGTGCCTTTTTCTAAGATATGTTTTCTTGATTTCACTGGAGATTCCTGAACTTGTAGTCATCTACCGAAAGGTTTATTTTTTTATAAAATTACTGATGTCCTCCAAGGCCAGTTAAGCTATTCATCTTGAGATGTGAAAGTGGTGCCAGCATGTTGCCATGGACAGCAATGACATTTGCATTTTTGTAGTCAATATAAATATATATTTGTCCACTCAGTAGACAAATATACTCACAATTGATCATTTGGTTTGTGTGTGTGTGTGTGTGTGTGTGTGTGTGTGTGTGTGTGTGTGTGTGTGTGTGCCTTTTTCTAAGATATGTTTTCTTGATTTCACTGGAGATTCCTGAACTTGTAGTCATCTACCGAAAGGTTTATTTTTTTATAAAATTACTGATGTCCTCCAAGGCCAGTTAAGCTATTCATCTTGAGATGTGAAAGTGGTGCCAGCATGTTGCCATGGACAGCAATGACATTTGCATTTTTGTAGTCAATATAAATATATATTTGTCCACTCAGTAGACAAATATACTCACAATTGATCAGAATCAAGTATTGCAGAGAACAATTTAATAAACAACAAACATATCCTTTAACTGTTCTTACGCATTGTTTGGGTTTGACAGTGGCTTTAATCCGGTTTCTTTAATCTTCGTAACTTCGTAATCTTCAAACTTGTTTTGCCTGGACAGGCAGTGATTATCAGGCAGAGTGTGGATGTGAATTGGCATTAACTCAGTAGAATTGCATTCATTTATTTTGCTGATTCAGTAATTGTCTGACTAACATAAACCTGTGAAATTGAACGAGATTGATTTATACCACGTTTTGCCTAAAGTCTCACTTATACTCTCAGATTCACATCTCTCTCCATATTTGGTTTCAGCAGCAGACTAACATGATGCCAGGTCTAAACATGAACGCATTGGGGATCTTCTCCTCTGGCTTGTCTGTTCTCCCCCCAGCCTCTGGTCTGAGAGGATCTCTGTCCGCCTCAGCCAACTACAGCCCCCTGCTGGTGAGCATCAGGATGTTCATGTGTATATCATGACACTTAGCTGTCAATGACTTGACAAAACAGTGTGTGTGTGTGTGTGCGTGCGTGTGTGTGTGTGTGTGTGTGTGTGTGTGGCAGTGAGTTGTCTTTCATCTTAGCGTGTATTTTCTCTTAAATAGCCATCTGTTTCCTTTGCAATTTTGGGTTACATTGGTCTCATCACATCCTCCATGTATATGTTCACCACAGGGCCCCCCATCAGTATTGGGTAGTATGTATGGTGTTCCCTCCTCTGGAGCATTATCTCTTCAGCAAACAGTGAGTACTTTTATTATAAGTGTATGTCAGTATACTTCCCTCATAATGATGTTCTATAACTCTGCACACTGTATGTCATGACAATCTCAAGCTTATAAGAAGCTTTTCAATTATATGATGCGTATACTTGTGGTATTAAACGAATGCTGAACAATAATGCGAATTTGAAATGAAGGATTTATAATAAAAATTATATGAAATTGAAAAATATATATAAATATTGTATGTTTTTTAATAATACATTTTATGTATTTTATGTTTTATTTTATGTATTATGCATATACATGTTGACATATGGCTTATTTCCGGAATCATTAGATGATATTAATAATTAAAGTTTAAAGTGCCCCCTGCTATTAAAGAGGTCATGAAATGGAGAATCAAAATGTTCTTGATATTTAGACATATAAGAGGTTGTTTAACAATAAAAACATACAAGTTTCACATGCAAGTTTTAAAACTCAAAACTTACTACCCACTTTAAAATATGAATTATTATTTTCTACCCATCTGAAATGCCCGGATTTGAAATCGGCCCTTTACCATGTGTCATTGCTGTATGTAATCAAGGAGGAGTGTTCTGAACAACTCTTATTTGTCCATCAGTCACAAGAGCGATACTTTTAAAGAAAGAAAAACTTTGCAAACTTTATAAACAAACTACAAGAAACATAACTTAAAAATATGAAACTGCAAAAAAATAAATTATATATA